CAGGCCCCTCCTTAAAATCTTTTATGACTCTGTGGTGGCGTCAGCCCTCCTCTACGCTGTCATCTGCTGGGCCCCTGGCAGCTCAGAGCGGGACTGAAAGAGACTGAATAAGCTGGTGAGGAAGGCCACTTCTGTCCTGGGCTGCCCTCTGGACTCGGTGGAGGAAGTGGCTGAGAGGAGGATGCTGTCCAAACTCACATCCATCATGGACAACACCTCTCACCCTCTGCACCAGACTGTAGAGGAGCTGAGCAGCTCCTTTAGTCAGAGACTTAGACACCCTGTCTGTAGGAGCGCTACCGCAGGTCATTCATTCTTGCTGCCACTAGACTCTATAATAATGCACTATAACCACAATAACTCATGTAAAAAACACTGTGCAGCTATATTATAGTTTTTTTATTTATTGACTGTGCAGCATTCTGTGCAATATGCTGAATGTGCAATATATGTGAATAGAATAGTCATACCACTACCTCACCGTTGCTCCTCACCCACTACACTTTAATGTCAAAGTAAATGCATCTGTATATAAGCCATCCGGATTGTACATATTTTTATTTCCTATTTCTTTATTTCTTATTTTTATTTTGTTTTTCATTGTGTGCGATACAGGTACACTTGCACCTTAATCCTTATTTACCTGGATATACTGTATATTGTTTATTCTTAATGCACCTTTTCCTACTTGTTTGCACCTTCTTTGACTTCTATGCCAATATCTGACAAGTGAATTTCTCCACTGTGAGATCAATAAAGCTCATCTAATCTAAATAAATGTACATTTATTTATAGCACTATGACAAAATAAAAAATGTGCCTATAACATACCAGCTGAAGCGCTGTTTATGCCCAGAAGAACCAGAACCACCAACTTTAGCATTTTTTCCCTCCGCCACCATCTGGATTTGTTGGGTTCAGAAATAATCTGAGTTCAGTCTCAGAGCGTTTCCCTGATCCAGGTATAAAAAGGGCGTAACCGTGATCCTGACCAATCAGAAAATAGTATGACACAAGACGTCATATGATCCCAGGTGAAATTTACCTGTAGAAGTTGTCATCGAAAATGAAACCAACGCCTTCGTTAACCAATTGATGAGGTGAGACTCAGAAGTTTCCTCATAACCAGGGACTTCTGCTGCCATTTCTTTGACACTGAACGTTTACATTAATAACTCAAACAAAAAATATTGTTGTTTTTATTATATTTGTCAAACTACTCATTATACAGCTTGCATCTACCAAATCTTTCTGGGTTTAACTTTAATTTTTCTCTATGGTTCGTTCTTACGGCAGTTTCTCTTTCTGGTCAGTGACGCCCTCTAGTGGTAAAGACCTGCCCACATTTAACTTTGGGACCTTTTGATGTTGAAGAGTTCTGATACCAAAATTTATAAAGACTGTAAGTTACATTTCCTTCAGAGGATCAGTACTATAAAAAGAAAGAGTCTCTAGAAAAAATACGTTTTGTCTTATATAATGCTTTCTTTAAGTCACATTTCTGTATCCTTTTAGATTTTCACCCATCCATGTTACTTAGGATTTTATTTAACAAATAATTTTTTACATAGAACACATTAAAATTCTCTCCATTAATTTTCTTTTGACTCAATTCTATCACCATTCATACTTTAAACAAAAGGCAAACAATAATGGTGAACAAAGATGCTTAAATATAGTTTAAAATCCAAATAAAAGCTGAGCACACAGAAATTCTACAAGAAAAAGTAAGAAGGTCCATGGTTTGAATCCCTGCCTAAGATCTCTACATGGAGTTTGTCTGTCAATTGTTGTTTTTTTTTTTTTTTACATTACTGTATGTGGATACTTTATTTCTTAAACTTGCACATTTTAAAATAAAATCTTTTTTTTGCTTTTTTTTCTCCATTTGCATTCTGCCTATTTTTTCTGACATTACTCATGTGTCACAAATGTGGGTAAGGTTGCACTGCAACAAATATATGCATATATATACATTTTTTTTTTTTTTTTTGGCTGCTTTCCACACGATACTCACTGTACAAAACTACAATTAGTAGTTAAAAAAACTTGCTGGTTTCTAATGTCTTAGTTTCCTCTTCCCCGTAAGTTGGAATGTTTCTGAACTCTAAGTTTATTAATCCATTCCTGATCAGGAATGCTTTTCTGGGTTCTGCTGTCACAGTAAGTGATCTGAACACCATCCACCAACCCAACAGACACGTATGAAGGAAAGTTTGGGATTCTAGAAGATGCCGTGTAGAAATACCTCAGAGAGTGGGTCACTGGGAGGAAAAGCAAAGAGCTGGATGTTTTACTATCATCACCCATAACCAACAGAAACCTAATAAAACACATTCATATCAAACAGACTCATCTTGCTGCTCTATTAGCTTACTTCTAAACACATCTTGTCTTTATGATGTTGAATATTTGGCTACGGTTGTTTAGGAGCCTTTGACTAAAATTGTGTTAAGATGTGACGATAAGATTTTATACATGACTGAATTATTTTTCTTTTTCTGCAGAGATTATATCTTAAAACTCTTACATTTGATTGTGACATAATGCAGCAGTAGATAAAGGAATAAATTGCTATATAACAAGCAATAACTGCTCTATAGTATATTGTAGTACCATTAAACTCAGAGTACATTTCAAACTCCTCATGATGATACTACAGCTCTTAATTTAGAATTTTTTTTTTTTTTTTTTTTTGGTCATGTTTTTCCACTTTAAAGAGGTCTTTGACAAGCAATAAATAAAAAAATCCCTGCACACTTTTGATCTGGATCTTAATTTAGAAAAAAAATGCTTACCGTATGTTTATTTTCTAGTCATTTTTACTCTCAAAATAAGTACATAACAGACATTTAATTAAAAATAGCATGCTGGGGTGCTGTATAAAATCAGTTGTTTTAAGAATTTGTAAGTAGTCTATATACCATCTCTTTATTCCTGTGTCCTGGATCTTGTGTCTTCATTTTACCGCATCTTGTGTCTTTATTTGTCACACAAATTAGCGTCAATTTTCTCCTTTACAAGCGGCATCCATCTAACAGCACACATACAGTAATGAACCTTATCTTGATCATAATACTGCGCAGTTTGGTATAATGTGCTACATTATCTATATTGTTCACTCAACATTGTTTTATATTTTACTACAATGTTCATCACACGTTCTTCATCTTATGATGTTTCAATACTATGCTTGGCTTGATTATATAGACTCTTTTATTTTGAAGAGGTGTTTTACTTCTAAATAATGCATAATTTCTTTCTCTTTTTTTTTTTAGCAACAGTACAGTAGCTTTAAAACAGAAGGGGCGACTTTAAGCCAAAACTATGACACTAGAAAACACTTTCTTTATTTAAAGATGCTTTTTAAAACACAAATACCATACAATAAAGGGCACCACTGAGTCTACAATCACCTTTTTAGTACTTTAGTTATTGAAAGCTTTATTTTTTTACTGATAGAGATTTTATTTGTAACAATATAATTTGCCATAATATACTTTTTAGAGTTTACTTCATTAAAATAAGCTATTTTTCTATCACTTTTAAAAGGTCACATTTTGATATCCTGCAATGCCACATATCTGTCTAATGACTGACCTTTCAGCGACATAGAGAGGTGTGGGGCATTGCAGGCTAACACAAGAAGCCAAACGATCCCCATCCCGTTTCAATTTGTATGTTTAAACAAAAACAAGGCTTTGTTGGGCTATTATATAAAACCTGTATATGTATACTACTAGGAGAGGGCTTTTAATTTGTTCATCAGACATCACATTTACTGTATTGCACATGTGCCCTGAAAGTGAGGCTGATAAAATTGCAAGAAAAAAAAGATCAAGGCGTGAGAGCTTTAGCAACTTTCACATTTGCAAGGTTGCAAAACGTAACTGGTGTTTCAACAGTGCTGTGAGTTTTATGGTACCACAATATACCATAGAGAAGTTAGGGGGCGGTTATCTGACACCTGATTGGTCACCCTGCACATTAAGGCGAAGCAAATCGATTACTCAATTTGCGTTAACCCCGCCCCTAACTTTGATGGGTGAGTTTGACAGATTCTTTAATGGTTTCGATGCACTGCGACACAGGACCATGAAATAATTAAATGCACACTGAAATAATTATATATATATTTTTTTTATATAATGAAGAT